TTCTTCTTCTTCTTCTTCTTCTTCTTCTTCTTCTTCTTCTTCTTCTTCTTCTTTGCATTCGCAGGTAATGTGGAGCTACAGGACTCGTAATCGTGAGATTGCGGGTTCGCGGGTTCGAGACTCGCTCCAACGTTGTGTCCTTGAGAAAGGCACTTTACACGAAATTCCAACTTGATTCGGTCCTATCGGAGGTGGACGTTAAACTAGGAGGTCCCTCCCATTAAATATCCTAATAGTGTTGATAGGGGCGTTAAACCCATATCATTTCACAATTTTTTCACCAGGTAATGTGGGCCAAAACTCACCTCGTTGGCTGTGGTATAAAAAGATGCCCTGTTCTTGACGCCTTTTCGTCCAGAGGAGAAGCGTACTTCATTGTTTGCAACTACAACGGCAGGTAGGTTGTTTTGTGTGGATTTTATAGATACGAAAGTTTTGAATATTATCAGGAAATTATCTTGAAACTAAATATTTCAACACTGAAGATTTTTGTTGGCTGAAATTATTATTTTTGTTTGTGTTGTTTTCTTTGTTTTCTTTTGAGGTAATTGTCACTGCAGTTGTTGTGGGTCGTTGGCGGGTGCTCTGGTGTGGTTAGCTTCTTCTTTCCTATGAAACATCTATCGTCTCTATCTCCTCTTCTTCTTTTTTATGTTTGTTACTCTCTTGTAACACCTCTAACCTTCTGGCGCTCATGTGACCTTACGCAGTTGCGAGCGCTGTAAAACCTCTACTAAAACTTAAACAACTAAGTAGTTGTTGTTTGTGATGGGTTTTTTTATCTTGTCGCTGTTGCCACTGTTGTAGTGTTTAATCTTGTTACTGTTACTAATTTTGTCGTTGTTGTTGCTGTTGCTATTGTTGTTGTTGTTATTACTGTTGTTGTAACAGTCGTTGTTGTTGTTGTTGCTGTTGTTGTTGTTGTTGTTATAGTAGTAGTGGTAGTAGTAGTAGTAGTTGTTGTTGTTGTTGTTGTTGTTGTTGTTGTTGTTGCTTTGACCCTGAATAACTTCTTCGCCTTCCACCTTGAGGTAACACTGTCTGACAATAATGAAATAATGAACAAAGAAACTGTATATTTTTTATTCATATTATGTCTTCTTTTTGGGGGTCAGTGTTTTACGGCGCTCGCAACTGCACAGGTCTTATAAGCGCGCAGGACACATTGAATATTTTCAGCTTGGTAGAAATTAATTTTGAATTTTGCCATGGTGGCCGCCAAAGCCTACTCTTATCGCTTTTGGAACTCCAAATGATCTTTAACGTGCGCAACTTGCTCATGGGGCCTCCGAAAAGGCTCGATGTTAGATTTTACTTACCCAAAGATCAGGGGTGGGGCTGAAAGACAGCAGAAAGAAGGAACCAAGGAGTAGCAATAGAAAGGCTTTCAGGAACCCAGAAGTGGGGCAAGGAAGGGGTTGGATGTGGGGGGCAAAAGTGGAGACGAAAGAAGGAAAGGAGAAGGATGGAAAACATTTTGGAAAGGAAAATTTTCCGTCTCTGTTTGATTTCAAACTCGAGACCTATTGAATGAGAAGCGAACACCATAACCTCTCAACCGACTGTGAGAGCCTCCTCCCAAGGAGCTTAAAACAAATCTGCTTGCCTCCTCCATAAGTCTGGAAAACAAAGAAGTAGCTTGTGTTTTGGCGTTATTTTTCAAAGAACAAAGTGGACGAAGCCCGTGTTCTAAAAGAAGGGTATATAAGAAGAATGAAAAAACAAGCATGCTGTTTTTAGCAAGAGCTTTAAGTCACTTGCAATGCAAATAGGTCATAAGTGTCTATTATTAGAGCGTACACCAGAGAGTATGATACAAAGAAAATAAGGATAAGGAGAGATAAGGTCGAGAGATGTTTACAAGGAAAGAAGGAGAAAATTCAACCAGAGCAAAAATATTTTTAATGAAGGCGTTTTTACACCCCCATGGACACATTTTAGATCATTAAAGTGGTGAGCTCTCGACCCTGTCTGTCAGGACCAAGCCGGGCTCAGGGGGATTCTCCATCTCAACAGAAAGACCGACACACTCGATCAAAACTCTCTCTACTCATGAATCGAACTCGGGGTCCATTGCGCGCGAACTGCGAAACGCCTGACCGCTACACCACAGACGCAGGTATACCAGAGCACTCGCCAACCACTCACCAAACAGGTTGTAAAATGAAGATAGGGGGAATAATAATTGTGCCATTTATTCTTCTCTTCCGTTGCCTCGTGGCATTGGTAGTTAAGTGATTAAACTACTGGACCCGTAATCGTTAGACTGTAGATTCGAAGATTCAAGGCTGAGCTCGGTCTGATTTTGTGTCCTTGGAAAGACAATTTACACACATTTTCCCTTTTGGCTCGTTCTGATCGGACATAGACGTTGAATTCGGAGGCGCGTCCTTTTTTTAAATTACCTTACTTTACACGGATTTCCCCATCTGGCTCAATACTATCGGAGACAGAAGAGTAATTAATAGATCCAGACTTTTCAATAACCTTACTGTATTGCAAAGGGCGACCGATACAACGTCGCACTATCTTTTTCATTTCCGTTGTCTGTAATTTGTTTCATTTCTTTCTGCCAGGTTCCTGGTTGCACAAAAACCTTACGAGAAGGGAGCAGCATGTTCCGCCTGCCCAGAAGAGGCGCCCAAGTGTCGTTACAATCTGTGTAGTTAGTATTTCTTTCATAAATCTATCTATCTATCTATCTATCTATCTATCTATCTATCTATCTATCTATCTATC